CTGCCCCCCCTGCCTCTCTCCTGCTCCCCAAGCATGCATGGCGTCTGCAGCCAGGATCCCCATGCCAGGATTGGGGCCGGGAGGCCCCTGGAAGCAGGGTCTGAGCCCCCCACACCTGACCCCGGGGGGCACTTGGAGAAGGGCCCCCTTGGCCCCGGGGCTGCGTTGGGGGCTGCAGAGGGCGGCACGTGGGGGTGCCTGGACCAAAGCCTTGACCTCCCGGCTCTGCCCCCGCCCGAGGCGCTGGCTCCAGGGGGCAGCAGGATTGGGGCCCGGCCGGGAGGCCCCTGGAAGCAGGGTCTGAGCCCCCCACACCTGACCCCGGGGGGCACTTGGAGAAGGGCCCCCTTGGCCCCGGGGCTGCGTTGGGGGCTGCAGAGGGCGGCACGTGGGGGTGCCTGGACCAAAGCCTTGACCTCCCGGCTCTGCCCCCGCCCGAGGCGCTGGCTCCAGGGGGCAGCAGGATTGGGGCCCGGGGGGGCCGCGGGGCGGCCGAGAGGACACGTGTAGGTGAAGCACGGGACGGGAGAAGCGAGCGCGGGCGGTGCAGACAGGACACGGAGAGAGGCTGAGGGCCGGGACGCCCGGCCTGGACCCCCCGGGGTTGAGTCCCCCCTGGCTGCCACGGCCCTGGGGCAGGAAGCCAGGCCAGGCCCATGGTGCCCTGGCCCGGGCCGAGCCGAGCCACCGGGGTAGGGGAGCCTGGATCCGGCCCCCTAACACCTGGTGCCCCCCCAAGGACCCAGGCCCCGCCATGCTGCCTGGCTGCAGGGCTCGTCGCGGTGCCCAGTGCTGCACGCACGCGCTGCACACGCCTGCCCCACGCTTGCACATCCGGTCACTCACTAGCAGCAGCTTCAGTGTGACACAAGGGGGGGGGGACAGGCCAGGGGGCACTGGGGGGCAGGAAGTGCGGGGGGGGCAAAGGGGCGGGGCAGGAGGTGAGGAATAGGGCAGCAGGTGGGGCTATGCTAATGAGCTGGTGCAGCGGGCAGGCGGAGCCATGCAAATGAGGGCGGGTGGCCGTGGCCATCTCGCCTGTCCGTGCGCACACGAGACTCACGCGCTTGTGCCCTGGAGTGGCCGGGTCCTGGCCCCGCGCCTGCCGGGGACAATAAACGACGTCACCCACCACAGCCGGGCTCTCGCCTCCTGCGCCGCGCCGGGGCAATGGGGCAGGTCACAGGATGAGGGGGTGGTGAGGTCACAGGGCAATGGATGAGGTCATGGGATGATGGGGTGATGAGGTCATGGGCCATCTGGGGAGGACAAGGGCTAACGGGGTGGTGAGGTCACAGGCCCTGCTGTGCTAATGAGGTGACCTCATGGCAGTGGTCCTCCCAGGCCAATGAGGGGGTAGAGTGGGCGTGGCCACTGGTAAGTTAATGAACGAATGACATCACCGTGCTAATAAGGAGGTAGTGAGGTCTCAGACCACTGCTGTGTTAATGAGTCATGCTAATGAGGGGCTGGTCCGGGCACGGGTACTGCGGTGTTAATGAGATGACGCCATGCTAATGAGGAGCAGTGCGGTAATAAACTACTGCCATGATAGACAAGTGACGTCATGACCGTAGGCCCTGCCGGGCGGAGGGGAACGAATGGGCGTGGCCACTGCTGGGTTAGTGCAATGACGTCAAGGGAAGGGGCGAGGTTATGCAAATCAGGAGCTGAAGTCACCGGACACTGTTATGTTAATCACGTGACATCATGGGACGAAGGGCCGGCAGATGCTTAGGCCCCGCCCCCGACAGCCCTGATTGGCTGGGGCCGGCCCACAGGTGAGAGGTGCCCCAGGGGGCGGGGCCTGGCAAGTGGGGCGTGGCTTCCAATGCCGGGGGCGAGCGTCACTCCCGGCCCCGGAGTCTGATTGGCCGAGGG